TGCTGAAGCTCGTTCCGGAGTCCCAAGTATGTATGTTGATTGGGCCAAACCACCGTCGATGGACGCGCCTGCATCGCAGAAGGATCTCTCCCCGGTCTGTCACGGGCACCATGATTCCGAGTGGAGTGGTTTGCATCCTGCCGTGCTGAACCCTGAACAGGCCCCTCCGTTAGTGTTGAGAGGCTTCGGAAACCCAACGCCACTGTCAGAAGCCAAGGCGAAAGACGGAAGGGCGTTCCTAGCATCTGGGGTTGTGAAGGCGCCACTACGACGATCCACCAATATCGAAAGATCCATGCAATTTCGTTTTAAGATAGGTCATAATAATGAAATATGCAAGCCATTTAGAGATGAGTTGCGAAGTGGGAGATGACAAGTAAATTGAGGCGTGCCAACATTGCAATTAATGAGGGAGGATGCATGTGTTTTTATGCTGTAGAGGGGAAGTTGGATATTAAAATAGCTTTGGAGGAGTTGGTGGAAGAAAATGCTGCTATCGATTTGATAGAAGAAGCTACTGATACAGGTACTTTATAGATAACCCGATAAGTCGAATGGGAAGGTACGGCAAACCAATTTTGACAACCTCACCACAACACGAATGCGGCTGCAAAGGAACCAAAAAAATCAGTTTCGAGAGAGTAATGGGCTTGAATTCCAGTTCTTTTCAACATCTACTAATACTACAGTAGCATCTGAACAGCAACGGATACCTAGGTACGTCTCCATTGACTATAGCCCAGTCGGTATGCCGCGCGCGTATCATGGAACCTTGCTAACGTACACATTGATTAGTAGGAATCTTTTTGGAATCGGTGTTAAAACACAAAGCACAAAATACTGCCCGGTTCTCTGGCGGCTCTGGCGGATCTTACGCGATGACGAAACGTAGTTTGGTTTCCGAGAAACCGCTGCCCCAAACGTTACTTTTATAAAGGTCAGATGGACAACTTTGGCCGACGCTTCAGCCTCCATTCGACAGGCTATCTCTACCGCTTCTACACATGTTATGGCGTTGCTGAAAAGCTGGCAAATACGATACGCAAATTGGCGCGTTCGCAGAAATACGCAAGCAGCATTGGATATGGCCGCAGTGGGACACCAACTCAACCTCCTTCGCCGAATGGCCCGGCCGGTGTCCCTCCATGTCAGGCTACTTCAATTGTTTCCATTCCTTCAAAACACGAAAGTCATTGCTGATTCTAGGCCGATTCATAATGTCCTTTCCGCAAATATGTTCCATTAACGCTCGGAGAACTGACTCCTCCTAGCCTACTGACTCGGAACAATGCAATAATATCATGTCGCGCAACAAAATGATGGCTATGGGCTCACACAGAGCAGAGCTCTGTGAATCCGCATTCTTTGTGCGCTGTACTAATTTATCACAGTGTCGAAAATGTGGTGAATGTGTGGTAAGATCACGATTCTATTCATGTTAGAACGGTGACAATGAATGAACGCAAAGCCTTTCTCGATGTTGAAAAGCATAAATCAGCCCTTTTTAGCTGATGCGCATACTTGATAGTATCCATGGAGCATATACTGTACCCTCCCAAGGTCATCAGTCAAGTGTAATAATTGGGCATTCCCAAAGCCAGATCCAACGAATATCTAGCTTACTACCTCCGAAGTTTGACCTGACAACACAGCCGGAACTCTCACCAGACTACCAAGGGGAGTCAAAGATGAAGAAGAAAAGAGATCATGGGCGCCAAAATAAGCTGGCACATATGCATGGTATAAAGGTTAGGAGAGATGGATCATGAGTTGGCACTAATTTGGCTGACAATGAGCATTCATCGGCTGCAGCTTTAAATGAACCTATTTCACCAACGTATGGCATGGCTACAAGTAAGATCTACCATGCAAGCTAGCAGCTCTGGCGGGATCAAAGAATGGTTTGATGCATTGTGACGCGATTTGACGCTCAAAATACCAACTATTCCTCAGCCTACATAACGTCGCCCTTGCAGAGGAATACACACACCAAGCTCTATTGGGAATCAAGCGTCAGCACAAGTCTTGGGCTTGGTCTAAGAGGGAATCATGAAAGCAAGCTTTCGTAGGTAAGCACTGCGGAATCCCTACAGGATTGTCGTGGCTCTGTACCAAACTGTCGGGACATTGATTGGATATAATGTTAAACAACACTAGCAGAGCACACACACCGGAAACGACTGCAGGTCTTACGTCGACTCGCATCAATTCGATGCTGGATCAAGGCTACCTTGGGGAGTAGACTTTGGACCATCAATAACGTTGCTTACGCTGATTAAGGTAGTACAGGTAGACTTCGCATAGTGGCGCGAACACGAACAACTGACGCCCAGATACGAAACTTTCTGGTGTACAGAATCCCCACGTACTAAGAGACCCAAGACGGGGGGTAGGCCATGCCACGCGAGGATCTGAGGCTACCAGCGCCACGATGTGCTCCATACTCGGGAAGGGCAAAGAGTCGTCAGCGATGCTGTTAGGAAGCTCAGGCTCGGTTACGAGATGAGAAAACGAGGATATGTACCGGGCAAGACGGCAGCATTGGTCTCTGACATCGTGAGCAACATACCGTCACATTTTATCGTACCGATCACATGCAGCCAAGGTGATACGGAACTCGCAGTATACTGTACCTGGTGCCCCTCGCACAATACCACCGCCTGTACGACGTGCATGTGGAGTGTTGGTCCTCCTCGTACTTGGCGCGAGTGTGTACCCCTTTCACCCCCTGTTTCCTTTATTCCTCGCCGGCGCGCAGCAGCCACCCCGCTAAAGCATGAAAACGACAAGGGTAGTGATAGCTAGGGGAGTATGGATATGGAGGACAAGGATGACCTCTAGTTTTCTCTGGAGGAGCCGTCAGGAATATGCTCTATTCCTCTAGCCCCTCTCTCCTTTTCAGCGAGGCATTAGCGTGAACGGAGCTCAGCAGCGGCAGGCCCCTGAAGGAAGATAGTGATCCGACAAAGACAGACCAGCGTTGCCAAGATACAAGATCGTATACCAGTAATAATGCGATAGGGCTGGACCGACCGGTGTCAGCAGCGCACGGCGCTTGGGAGAGCTCGGCGACGAGGAGGATTTTGGGGCCAGATCCCGAGCAGCTACGGACTGATGGACAAATGAAGCAAGGACAAACGCGTTCGCTAGAGAAGCCTTCAAGCATGGTTACGGAGCATGCAGGTCTCTCAAGACAGGATGGACGGAAGGACTCCCATTATTACCGGTGAAACTTACAGCACGGAGTGCTTCCTGCGTCTGCCAGTGGGTACTGCTCCGTGCCAGAAACAAGGCCAACTACCAGTCAACCAGGTTGTAAGCAGAGCTTGCAAGCGCCGACACCCGGGAAGCCGGGGAACGAGCGGGATGGCGTCCAAGTCTTCCTCCACCGGAAGTACGCGGCCGCAGCCCTGCTCATCTGGCGTTGGTTTGACACACCCGAAGCTCGTCTCAGAACAGCCAAATTCGCGCTGTGCATACCAGATGGTCCTGCGGGAGTGCATTTTGCCTACCCGTAATCACCTGAGCAAACAAGGGCAAACAACTCTTCAGCACCCACGAGTATTGGGCGTTTTCTTGGCTGGATGAAGGTGCTTTATCGAGTTAGCCGCCCCTCGGCTACGTCTACAAGCAGCTTCTTACCCAAACAAGCAAGGTAACGGAGTCAACCAGCGCATGGCTCAGAGACACAATCCCAGTCGGTCCAACTTGGTGCCGTCTGATGGGCTCGGCATGGAAAACTGGAGACTTCAGCCGTTTGTTCGGTGGTGCACGTCCGTGAGTTAATGACGGGTCTGGGTCTGGTGAGAGTACCGAGTGGGAAAGGTCGGCTGAGCTGAGCTGAACCTCAGCCGATACGAACAAACAGCTCGTTTTATTCTTCTCCTCTCACTAACTGCTACGAGTACCTGATTCTAGAACAGAACCACAAATACGAATGGCGACTAACGAGCGCGGAAATGTACTAGCTGAGGCAGTTGGTTAGGCGGACAATAGCTGGAGCGGCGGGTTTTCCGCCCTTTATTAGTTAAACAGGACCAAAGACGCCCTGGGGCAAAGGCTGGGGAGAAGGCGAAAAGGCGCCTGGCCGGCTGGACGAGTGGATATCGCGAGTTGCTCTTCGACGGTGCAATCCATTAGTCTGAGCGACTGTCCGTTATTGAAGAATGGCGGCCTGATGGCCTGGTGAATGGAGTCGAAGCCATAATTTCACATCTCCGGATGTCTGTCGAATTTTATCGAATTTTTCAGCTGCAGTTCAACTCCTCCTCTGGGGGCTCCGGACCGGACGCCGGACTCACTGTCCGACATCGGGTTCGGGACTGTCGGTACGGGATCGGACGGGCGGACCGTTGTATGTTACTCCCGCTGCCTTCAATTGCTGGTACGCAGTACGCCGGAGATTTCTGTAGATTGTTGAAATAATCGTTTTCACGATTGATTAAGAGATTTTGTGCAACTTGCCTCGTGGCGTTTGTTATTATAAATTGTGTACCACTTCAGTATTGGCAACGTTGATGAAGCCTCCTGGTTATCTGGTTTCTCGACAACTGGGAGGTGCACCTTTAAACTAAAAGGCCAAGGAATTTGTTTGATTCAATGTGCGCAGCTAGGAACCGCCAAGGCAAATAACTTGTCTACTTCTTTCATTTCTCTTTATGGGAAAGGGAAATCAACCTTCTTTATATAGGGTAGTTATGCTCAGCTGAGCCAAATCATCAATCCTTTCTAAACCTTCAATAGGTACGGCTCAGGAAATCTTCAACAATGGGAATGAATGTGAGTCCTAGTATATGTTCATACGAGGCTCTACGCAAGACTTCTTACTCGAGCTGGCACTTGATTTGGAAAATATGACTACAACATCGTGACATTCATTGTGACGTTGGCGCCAGGCATCATTGCAATTGTTGTTGTTATTATAAAGAGTGTTTTGGTCTATGCATGCTGCAGGAGCAGGTTCAAGGCCATCTCAGATCCCATTGACAAAGGTAAAAGAATTAATTCCCAGAAAAATACTTAATCTCCTCTTCAAGTCTCGACACCACCTCCTCGAAAAACCGCTGGCAGTACTGCTCATCCTGCAGGCCGCCCATCCGATGATACATGCTGTTGAAACACCATTCTATGGCAGGTTTAAGGTTGAAACCACTGCTTTCCAAAAGCCGATCGAACAGTTGTCTACCCTCGTCCCGCTTTGTGATAATCGTGCCAAAATTCATTGGTCCTGTCATCTCCAGCGCGTTTTCGGCCTTCCCAATCATCAACTGGATGAGTAGAGCCCCAACCGAGAAAACCGCGCCGTCAATTCGTCTCGGTGTTCTACTCTGCTGGCTTGGCGGAGTCGGAAAGTTCTTGACCACAAATGGTCGATCTAGAAGTGTGGTATCGACATCTCCATCATCGTTGGGTAAGAAGAAAACGACGGAATCGAGAGTCAAGCATTCGTCAACCCAGGGAGTCTTGTAAAGATGGAGAGTATTGACAGCAATTGCGTGTGCAATTTTCAGTTTCTCCGGATAACTCAACTGACGCTTTCCTTCCAATACTTCTCGAAGTGTTGATACCGTATAGCGGTCCATACGTGAGTTTGGGAGGTGTATTCCAAACTTCCGATCATGACTCGCTACATAGCCGAGGCAATACGTGTCCGGTCGCTCAGTATAAGTGCTCAACATGTGGCATAGATTTGAAACCGGTTTAGAAGATGCAGCCATTATGGGCATCGTTGCCATTGCACATGAACGTGCTCCTTCCATCGCACTAATAATTGTGCTTGGACGCCTATTTTTATCTCTGCGGCGCCGCAATTTAAACCGTTGCAACAGAGTCTTCTTTGTCGGCTCCGGGTCTTCAGGGGCCGGCAAGGGTTCAGGTTTGATAGCCGTTGTTTGGATGATCCCGAAAGTGCCCAGCCGAAGGTAGATATTACTCCAACGGTTGATCAATTGCTCGTTTGCGGACATAGACTGATGATCGGTGCTATTGGTTTCCGCGTTGTCGCCAAAACCAAAGGCAACGTGGAAGTTCCAGTCTCGCGCGACGTCGTCATTCTTGTCCTCGGATGTCAGGACCGCCTCCCTTTTCACGAGCTCGAGACACACTCGATGAGAAGCAATGCATTCACAGGTTGTCGAAGTTTGAATGGCCTGGAAAACATCCTTCGAAAGTCCTCGCACGAAATGTATTAGTCGGGTCTGGGACTGCTTTCGCCTGCTCGGTTCGAGTTTTCGATTATTACGGGCAAGTTCTTCAAGCGCCGAGTTTCCGACCTTGATCTTCGATAAGATGTCGTTATAATCTCTTTTCTTGAGCGTGAAAGACATGTTTTTCTTAAGTTCCCTGATGATGGAGCGCTTATCTGCTGGTTTTGACTATGTAGCGAATATCGCAAACATCGAGTTAGCCAAGGAAGTGAGCTTCAACCTGACGTGTACTTACGCTACCACCACCATATATCCACAGTTTGGCTTCTAGCTCGTTAGCAGCCTTGCGCATGCCTAAAATATGATCTTTGATCTTCTGTTCCGATCCCCCGAGCCGTAGGTTCAGCAAGTGGTTGTGCTTCTTCCAAAAGGCGAGAAAAGAATCTTTAGCCATGCCGTCTATCATAGCAAGCGGAGAGATCCCATCCAGGAGCACTTCACAAGTGGTTTGTAGGCGGACTTTTTCCGTCTCCAGTTCTTCAATGAGGCGTTTTAGATCCCGCGCGGCATATCGTATCGACGAGAGAGTTGTTTTGTACCATTGAGCTGTGTCAACAGCCATAGGTAGAATGCCCAATACCCCCGTGATGGCGCCTAGAACCTCTAAGCCGGACATGATGCTGGTTTGTATAGCTTAGAGCTGCGTAGAATTATTGTTCATCGCAGTGATATAAACAGTTCACTGCTGCCAGCCTCGGGGATGAAGCAAGGCTCTGCGATAAGCCCCGCAGTGGCAAGAAGACATGTACATATCCAAGTCGCACCCGACGAGGCTCTCGTTTATACCCAATGCGCTGTCATTTGTACCCAATGCATACGTGAACCAATGAACGACGACAGCCTATTCAGAGCCTCATATTACTCAAAACTATAGACGGGAGGGGAACATCCACGAGCTCATTCATCCTCCATTTCTCATTACAGTTAAAATTTCGAGAAGCACATGGCCCAAATGGAGCCTCAAATTGCACCGCTCGTCAATCACAGTCTTACTCTATTCAAAACACTGGATAACTTGGCAGTTTCCAGTCAGGATGAACTCACAAAAGTTCGTTCACACCTGGCCAGGTTTAAACTATGGGCAGGTAGCTTGGGAGCACATCGGCCCTTTGGAGACCGTTCGCTGGAATATCGTCTTCGCGACACGTCCTTTGTGCGCAATCACGTAATTTCCCTATTACAAGAACTTGTTTCTTCGATCGATGAAGGTAAATTGATACCTCCTTGCTGTGCCATTTTCATTGAAGCTTACTTTACGTAGGAATTCAGGCATACACTACAGATGGCGACGACAAGATGGCAACGGATGATTTGGACGATACGGATAAAGACTTGACTTCATACTTTGCGTCAGATAAAGAATCCGATGCAATGGTGACTCTTGAAAATATCGGACAAATTATTGATTGCTTGCTGAGATTGTCCGGCACAATCCGGAATCCAGCACCTCACGACCAATTCCTCTCCAAGGCCGGGGCAGATATTTTTTCCACCTTCAAAGAGTGCGATATGAAATATATACGCCAAACGTTCAGCAAACTTGACGGTAATATTGCTGATAGACTAGGAATAGCCTTGTCTCGCCGACGTCAATACTTGAAATACAGAGAAGAGCTCAGTGTTGGCGCAACCATGGCTACGTCTTCTAATTCGGAAATGTCCAAGAACATGGAAAACGCAGAATCATTTACTGAATTAGACAAAATCTGCGACAAAATGTCTGAAATTTCTGAAACGTCGTATGCGAGCTCGGATGCTGCCACCGATGAGCTACAAGTCCCTGATATACCAGAGGAGCATATCAAGGTGCCATTTCAGTGCCCATACTGCCGCGCAACAATAATGATTGAAGATAGAAAGTCCTGGAAGTACGTTTTTTTGTGTTCAATGAAGCTCTACAATATCTCTCCTCAATTCATCAGTATTAACTAATCCCGTGTACTTTTAGGAAGCACGTGTTTGGAGACCTTCAGCCGTATGTCTGCTTATTTGACAACTGCTCGTCCCCAAATCAGCTTTATCAACGCCGAAGGGATTGGGCGGCACATATGGAACGAGAACATTGGGTCTCGTGGTCTTGCCCGTTTGGCTGCCCCAAGTCATTTGATGCTCAGGAAATCTTCAAGGCACATCTCAACAGAGAACATAAGCAAAGCTTCGAGTCCATTGATTTACAGGCGGTCGTGAATATGTGCAGCTCTCCAGACGATTCCAAAATGGTTGGCATTTGTCCTCTCTGCTGGGTTCACCAGATTCAATCTGGTGAAAGCTATCAATCACACGTTGGCGATCATCTCGAACATGTCGCTCTTTTCGTGTTACCTCAAACAGTATTTGATGGTAACGATGACGGACACGACGGACACGATCATGATAGACACGATAACGATGATAATGAAGGCCATGACGGCAACGATAATGAAGTATACGATGGCTACAATGGCAACGATAGTGACGGCCACGATAGCAACAATCACGACGGCCATGATGACTATCATAATCAAGGCCACGATAGCCACGATAGCAGTGATGATGATGACCACGATGGCAATGATAACGATACCCACGATGACTATCATAATCAAGGCCACGATAGCCACGATAATAACAGCCACAATAGCAGCGGGAATAACGACCACGATGGTGATAATAATGGCGACAACGATGGCAACGATTCTAAAGGTCACGATAGCAACAATAATAGTGCCTACGGCGGCAACGATAATAATGACCACGTCGGTAATAATAATGACGGCCACGATAGCAACGATAATAAAAGCTACGACGGCAAGAATGATAGCGACCACGATGACTATGATGAAAACGGCCACGATAGTAACGATGATAAAGGCCATGATACCAACAATACTAAAGGCCATGATGGTAATACTATTAAAGCCACGAGCCATAACAAAGGCCATGATAGCAACGATAATAAAGGCCGCGACGACAGCGATAATAAAGTCTATGACAGCAATGAAAATAACAGCCCCGACGGCAGAGATAACAAAGGCCACAACAACAATGGCCACGACGGCAATAATCCTAAAGGTCACGACGGTAATGATAACAAAAGCCACGACAGCAACGATAAAAAGGGCCACGATGACTATGATAGTCATACGCGTCCCAAGAAAAATTACGGCAAAAGCGACCATCACCGAGAATCTCGCAGAGACGAGGATGAGGAATTGGATAAAGACAATACCAGTTTCACGGATAACCGAACCTCATCCCAATACCGACAATACCGACAATACATCCCTGATGTCAGTGGGCTTACGTATGAGACGATAGAACGCACCGTACACCATACTCAAACCAGGACAGTCACTACTACTACGAGTGAGACCTTTGTGAGGGAGAGACTTGGACCTAGTTCACCTCGTCTACGCGGTGGCTTTACGGCATCGCCTCTGGTGGAGGAGATAAGTGATGGCGAACCGGAGCGGTATCAGAGATACGGGGTTAGGACGGAAAGACATACTGAGGGAGACGGAGAGAATAAGTGAGAGGGCACTGAAAAAGGATTGTGGTGGCGATTTGGATATAATTTGAACAAATAAACGCTTTTGATTAAACTTATTTCATACTATCGTTACACTTAATAAAACATGTCCCACCCAACATAACATATTACAGCTTAGATGCTGGCGAAGGGGATCCAGGCTTTGTAATCTCATCATAAAGAAGTCTATCCCAAAAGTCAGTCACCAAAGAACAACATTCATCAAGAATCATCAAGGAAACTCACGTTGTCAGGAAATCGGCATAATCTTCACCAGTGACTTGTCCAGAAAAGTACTGAGCAGCGAGATGGAACTTGTTGCCCTGAGGAGCCTTTGCGGCAAGGCCCTCGGTGCACTCCTTGAGGAGCTTGAGGGCGTAGGCCTTGTCGACACGCTTGCCCTCGGCGGTTGAGACGCCGTGCTTGACCCATTGCCAGAGCTGGCTGCGGGAGACTTCGGCGGTTGCGGCATCCTCCCTGTTTTGAACTATTAGCAATCATGTTCCTGGACTGGTATGACGCGGGCTTGTATATGACTTACATGAGGTAGTTGATGGGGACACAGCCGACTCCTCGGATCCAGGCCTCCATGTAGCCCAGACCAATGTTGAGGTTCTTCTTGATGCCCTCCTCGGTAACGCTTCCGGGAACGTTCATGTTCAGCAAGTCGTTCTGGCTGATGTTGACGTCCTCGCGGCGGACAAACAGCTGGTTAGGGGTAGGCATGTACTTGTTGAAAATTTCGGTGGCGATGCTGGCGAGAGCGGGGTGGGCAACCCATGTGCCGTCATGGCCGGCACGAACCTCGCGCAGCTTATCGGCGCGGACGTTCTCCATGGCCTTGTCATTCGCCTCCTTGTCGTCCTTGATGGGGATCTGGGCGGCCATGCCGCCCATGGCGTGGACACCACGCTTGTGGCAGGTCTGGATGAGGAGCTTGACGTAGGCATCCATGAAGGGCACCGTCATGGTGACGGCAGATCGGTCGGGGAGAACAAAGTTGGGGTTGTTGCGGAACTTCTTGATGGTGCTGAAGATGTAGTCCCAGCGACCACAGTTGAGACCTGAACTGTGCTCACGAAGCTCATAGATGATCTCGTCCATCTCAAAAGCGGCGAGGATGGTCTCGATCAAGACAGTGCCTCGGATGGTGCCGCGAGGAATGGCAATGTAATCCTGGGCCAGGTTGAAGGCGTCGTTCCACAGACGAGCCTCGAGGTGGCTCTCCATCTTGGGTAGGTAAAAGTACGGTCCGAAGCCCTGCTTCTGCGCCTCAACAGCGTTGTGGAAGAAGTACAGGCCAAAGTCGAAGAGACTGCCGGAGATGGGCTCGCCATCAACAAGGAAGTGCTTCTCTTCAAGGTGCCAGCCTCGGGGACGGACAATCAGGGTAGGGAGCCTGCGGTCAGTTCGGAGCTTGTATTCCTTGGCGCCCTGCTTGAAATCAACCTGACGACGAACGGCGTCGTACAGGTTGACCTGGCCGTTGATCATGTTGTCCCATGTAGGGGCACTGGAGTCTGGAGTTTTGCCCATCAACATTAGCAATTGGCGTCACTCAATTACCTCTGGAGGAAGCATCTCACCTTCAAAATCAGCCATATACGTCCAGACATCAGAGTTGAGAGCATTGACGACCATCTTTCGGTCGGTCGGGCCCGTGATCTCAACGCGTCGGTCAACCAGACCAGGCGCGGGCGCTGCTCCCTTCCACGTGGCATTCTCGCGGATGTGCTTGGTCTCGGGCAGGAAATCAGGAAGAACGCCGCGATCCAGCTCGGCCTGGCGGATCTTTCGGCGCTCAAGCAGGTTCTTGCGGGTGGCGTTGAAGGAGCGATGTAGGAGAGCAAGGAAGGCCAGGGCAGGGGGTGTGAGGATCTTGCGCTGAGAGTCGTCAATCTTGCCGAGGAGGGTGACTCCCTGGAGGATAGTTTCTGTGGAAGCCATTGTGTGAAGATTGTGGGAGATTGGAGATGCCGGGTTGGATTGGTGAGGTATTGATATGGATGAGATTGGCGCGAGGAGGATGCCAAAAGGGTGTTGATTGAGATGATGATGAGAGAAAAGATGCTTTGCTTAAGGATGAGCTCAGAGGGGGGGGGAGAAAGTTAAGAATGAGTTTCAATGGCGGGCAATGGGTTTAATGCATAAGATGGGCAAACTTTCACGTGTCAGTGACGGTTGTTCGCGGCAAGCTTCAAGCTTTCCGGAGTTGGGGGTTGGACAGCCTGTAATGGGATGGGGTAGCTAGGTAGCTTACAAGGGAAATTCAAAGATGCTCTGGTCTGTGAGTGATGGTGATTGGGGATTCACACGCCGCGAAAAGGGAATTGTATGGATGATAAGAAAACAAATGAAGAATCAGGATAAGAAACACGGCGAAACCATGGCTGATATAGCTTTTATCGAAAAAAAGGTTTCTGTCAAATGCCCCGTGTATGAGAGGGTATGACGCACCCGCGTCCGCCATGTCGGCAGAAAGATTAGCCTCCGCTCCCTCTATCAAACCAACTTGCATCGGCACTACAGACTATCGAACTAGGATCCATTTAGGGGAGCACCTCCTACTAAGCAAACAACAATCAAGGCCCCCGTTTGCCCATCTCTCGTTGGGCTCCATTCACCCTTTTGCACCGTCAGCCGGTTTCTGGGGGCACCTTCGGCACCTGTCGGTCTGGCTGGGCCTCGGGTGGACGGAATGGGCCTTGTACCGGGTACCTCGAGGGCGGGGGCAAAGCCTCGGGCGCTAAAGCATGTGCTCACACGCCGCAACCCGCCGAAGCCCGCCAATTTTGCGTGCTGGAGGCAGCTTGTCACTCGGGGGGAGAGACGCCGCGGGGTAACCATCGACAGGTACCGAGTACAAGGCCCGGCCGGACGCCCTTGCAACAAGGAGAGACGCCGCTTTGGATCCCATGCGGGAAGCTTTTATCGATAGCCACGGCAACTTTGTACATCTATAGGTATGTAAAAGGCAAGCTTTCTCCGTGCGAAGAATTGGACAGAGCTGATGCGTTTTGTGCCGAGGGAGAGACACGGCCAAATTTGTCATCTGGGGGGCTTCAATCACAAGACGCCCGTTGCACCCAGATCCGGAACTACGGTATTGGAGCATCCAGTGACGCATTTGCCGTGGATAGACATCATCACTTTCATCACGGATATTTGCTTCGTTCCAGCTACCTCATATGCATGGATACGAACTGATATAGAGTAACTTAGTAACTACCTGAATACTTCATTCACCCGTCATCCCCCTCTTGACCATCCCCTCCAGTAACGCAGCCATCCATCCATCCATCCATTCACTTCTTCAACCCGGGTGGCAAACTTCCCATCAGCTTCCCATCCGCTCAGCCCATCACTTCCTAGTCCCCGTCCTCTACCCCAAAATAACCCAAGGGATAAACCTTTTTGTAAACCCTCTCCATACCTACCGAGTAGTAGCCGAGGCTCCCCAATTCTCCAACAGCCGCGATCAGCTACCCCGAGACTTTCCGAACTTGAACTTGTTCCAGATTTGTATTCTATCATCAATATAGTCTCACTAGCATGTCTGCGGGTCTGAATCGTACGTATCTCGAGGTCATCAAGTTTCCAGCTGCAGGCCCCTGGACACCACTACCTGATACTTAGCAATGTTGTTCTACATGCGCTTAGCGCTTGCAATGCTAGCCGCGCCAGGTACCCGATACCAATCCTCGGTGGGCTACCCGTCTTCTCCCGCTTATTCTTTCATCCGACCACTTTCAACCTCACCTCGCGACAAGATTTGAATCGTCTCATGATATTTAACTCTAACAAATGAAATACAGTCCAGCTATGGGAAGCAATGCTCATGTCGCCTAATTACAACTGATTCGACTCACAGGCCCCTGTAGCTCTCCCACGGCCTCCATTAGCTGCCTCTGTTGGCTTTCTTCGTTCCACTCAAGTCCATCAACCCTGCTTCCGTCATTTCAGCCCTCGGTATCAAGTCTTGTACAATGAAAATAAAGCCAACGGTAGCGCGGCACAACATATGACAGCTCTTCGATCCAACAGCATTAAAGTATCTTCAACCTAGCATTGTTGTCCGCCCACTGCCATCACAAAATAACCGACCCCGTTGGAAGAATCGTTGTTGTTCTCCATTCCGAAATGTTGATTAAAGAGAAGAGAAAAATTAGCTTTAACCTCGTTGAAATTTTGTCGCAAAGCGTAGCTCGAATCCGTTCAGATCCCATTTTGGTCCACAGCCACGGTGTCTCGGAAAGGCCCCTTCTTGTCGCCGCCGTATATTCAGTCGTCTTCGAAACAGTTAACCAGGTCTGTCCCAGTGATATATCCCCCCAGGTAAGAAGAAAAAGAAAAGAAGAAAATTAAAGCAGCAAAGCGCCGTGCATCACGAGTTTAGAGTCTTGATCATCATCTTCTGCTTGCTTGGGTCCTTAACCACGAGATTGCGATCGGTAAACACAATCCTCATCGTGTCCACAACTTTGTGGAAGCTGCTTGCAGCACCACGCTCTTGGGTGAAGCGGATGATACTAAGCTGTTGCTTCTTACCATGCTCAATCACCGTCATCACCTCTGCGGCGAATGCGACTGGTTTGAGGTTCAAGCCTGTGATTTTCATTAGCTACCACCCGAGGACATGGGCGTTAGTACATCTGGCAACTCACAGTTCTCAGCTCCGACTCGCGCAAAGACAATGTTGCGTTCCTTATCCACTTGAATATCCATTATTCCGTATTTGCGCCATTTCCGCAGCAATGTCGACACTTCCTGTCGCGCACGTTTGCGTGACAAGTTCATACAGATGTAGCTCGTTGCAGGTTTGACGCGGAATAGCCTAGTAAGCCAATTCTGCTTCACTTCAATGTTGCGGCTGCTGCCAGATGATGACTTCTGCAATCCTTGTCCTTTCCTATCGGCCTTGGTGGTAGCCGTCTCCTGAATTTGGCTTGTGTCATCTATGGAGGGTTCCAGATGGTTAGTTGAGAACTTTCCAAAATAGCTGAGCTGCTGCCATTCTTACCTTCGTTAATCATCTTTGAATCTCTATGCCGATTACTCTTCCAAAACGGGAAGCTAAAATTCCTCTTCTTGGTCGAGGTGGCCGTAGTAGAAGTTGAGGTGGAGTGGCGAGTCTCGCAAGAGACGGTTCGCTGCTTGTCATCCTTTGATTCGACCAATGTCTCACCGTCTGTGTCAAGCTTGGACGACCGCTTGAACCACGACCTCTTCTTCTTTACCGGGCTAGAAATGCCAAGCTGTGAGGTATCATGAGCGTATTGCCCATAGTTCCTCACCATATCTTCCTTGTGATCTCGCTGGTGTTGAAGAGGTTGCCCGTGGCCCTCTTTCGTTGACTTCTTTCGCACGTTGAGTGGCTCCGGAATCTTGACAGGACTCAGCGCGGTTGGAGAAGCTACTACTCTGATCGAGTTTTCGACTTGGCTCAGATATTCGACACCACTCATGGGACGGCTCGCCTTCTTCGGCGGCGTATACGGTGGTGCCGACACGATCCTTGGTTTGTCCACATTGACGGTGCTGACACCTGGATTCTCACTGATGCATGGCAGAGTACCTGTTCGTCGACTCGCCTGGCCATAAGCCGGTGCCGATACAATTCGGCGATCCGGCTGGTTAGAAAACAGCAGTGGAAAAGCCAGTCGGTTAATCTCGTCCACAAGACTGTCATTGTCGGCAGCTCTTGAGGCTGATCGAGAGTTGACCGCAGTAGTCTGTTGACTCATGGAGCCATTTTCGGATGGAATTGGCGGCAGGGGGCGGCTGCTCCAAGATTTGCCAGAGAACTCTGTAGGTGCAGTCGCCTCCGACGGAGTATCGATTGTAAAAGAAAGAGGCGTCGACTCACGCTGCTTCCTCTGCACATCTGCCACTGATTCCGAAAAGGAGTCATCTTGGATGAGGGAGCTCCCAAATGCGTCATCACAATCCTTGGCAATGTTATTGCTGAAATGACGCAGCTCTTCGTGAAAAAGAATCGAGGCGTCCTTGGAGACGGGGCCGCCTTTGGCTTTGGGATAGGTGCCATCCGGTAACTGAGGCATATCTGGCGTTGGAGACCGAGGCCTCGAGAGAACCTGATGTTGTGGCACCCCACCCATGGTGGCCATCGAGTCTGTCCGCGAGTGGTGAGGACCCCGTTGTACCTGCGCTGCAGAGGCCGATCGCTTGCGCATGTGTGAAAAATCGACACCTCGCTTATGTCGTAGGCCAGAACCATGCGTCTGTGGTGTGCCTTGACGGTTACTGCGCAGGGAACCCATGGATCCTCTTGACGACTGGGAGCGACCCGTATGCGCTCGCATAGAACTGGCTCGTCCGCGGCGAGTGGAGTTTGATCCGCTACGTTTTCTGGTCGACTGTGATGCTTGCAGCGTCTCGCCGTCCCGATGAACAGTGATTCTTGCATGACTGGCTTGCGAACCGCAAGCCTTCAGCATTCGACTGCCTCTATAGGGATCGTAACTCTGGACGGTCCCGTCCTCGGTCTCTGCTGTCGTGGAGATGACTGTAAATCGAGAGATGGATCTACCATGACCGTTGGCTCTGGGCTGAGAGAACTCGCATGTCGAAACGCGCTTCTTCCAGGAATTCGGCTTGAGATGATGATAGTCGCTCATGGAATGAGACAATTCCGGCTTGAAATCCTCCAGTTGTTGCTCGCGGTAGTTATAAAGAAGCCAGTAAAATGCCTTTTGGTCATTTGGCCTAGATTCATTCATGGTGAGCACAATTCATTACAATGAGATAATTGTCAAGTCGGTCAGCCACTTACTCTTTGCAGCCCAGCTTTCTCTCCAATTCGTCATCGCTAGACATGTGCCATAGTGAGCGTAACTGTCGCAGCAGCTGAGGGTCGATCTGGTGCGGCGGAATGGGAGCATATTGGAATCCCTTGCGCGTGTCTGGGGGTTGGCCCGTGTTCTGACCAAAATCGTCTAGATAGTTGTACTTCTGGATCAGAAGGTGCTGCCAAATCTGCTTCATTGTGATGCGATGATCGGGATTGACTTGGAGCATGCGGTCAATGAGATCTTCGGCTTCGGGAGTCAGGAACTCGGGCATTTTATATTGCCCTTTTTTAGTCTTGTTCATCATGACACGCAAATCAGGATCATCAAACGGCAGGGTTGCGGACAGCATAGCATAGAGAATCACGCCCATGCTCCAGATATCAGCCCTATCTCCACGGTATTGTCTGTTCTTGAGAAGCTCGGGCGCCGCGTAGTGTGGGCTGCCACAAGCCGTTGCCAGTCGATGAGTAGTTGTCTGGTGAAGAGCCGCCATGCCAAAGTCGGCGATCTTGATCTGGAGATCGGCGGTGATCAAGATGTTTTCAGGCTTCAAGTCGCGGTGGCACACGTTGAAGGAGTGGCAATAGGCAATGGCACTGATCATCTGTCGAAAAAAGTAGACGGACACTTCTTCGGATAGCCTTCCTTTCGTGTTGATAAAGGTAAAAAGATCGCCTTGGTCAATGTATTCAAGAATGAGATAACTGGCAGAACGCAGGTCAGTGATTGCATCAAACCATGGGAAAAGAAAGCAACAAACATTTCAGAGCGATTCTCCCATATATCATAGAGCTTCATGATATTGGGATGTTCAATAAGCTTAAGGATGGCAACTTCGCGTTCAATCGACACGGGAACTCGCATTTCGCCATTGACTTCGGGGAGGCTCGAATCCCACTTGCTAAGAGCAGCCAGGCTGCTGTCTTGAACAAGATACGCCATCCGACGGTTGACAATCTTGACAGCGGCGAGCTGCTTGGTGATGTTGTGGCGACAGAGCCGAACACGAGCCGACGAGCCTTTTCCCAGAGTCTTTCCTAGTTGCCACGGTCCAATGTGCGTCTTGTAGTTCTTCCTACTTTGACTGCTCGAGGTAGAGGCGTAAGACGCTTGAGAGAGACGCTTCACAGCCTCTGCAGAATGCTGTGGCTTCTGCACAGCGGGAGCATAAGCGTTGTAAGCCACTGGCTGGCCGCGTGAATCAGGCTGCATGTTTTGATGCGAGTGGTAGCTATTGTATGGAGTAGCACCTGATTGACTGTATCGTGCCTTTTGGCTCTGGTGATTTTGAGCGGGCACGGCAACATTGAGGCGATTCGTGGTCTCGGCAAGAGGTGCACGAGGCTTTGGAGTGTAGTCGACCATGATGATCGCGGCGAGTTGCAGAAGAATTAGCACATAATATTCGAAGTGAGCCCGCAGAAAAGTTGGCTGGGTTACGAATGTGAAGCGGCCAGATGCTGATGATTGGTAGAAGAATTGAATTGGTAACTGACGAGGCCTAATGCAATATGCGTGGAGGAAGAGGGGACAAAGACAACGGGATGCTGTAAAGAGATTGGATGAGGGAATCACGAGAAGGAAGAATCCTGCAGAGAAGCATCGAGACTGGAGGAGGCAAAGTTTTGGCAGGCGACGTGCTTGGAGAAGGGCAAAAGGTCTGGTCGGTTACGAGGAGGGGAACGTGGAAGGCATGCCAGCTGGTGAGACGCAGCTGTCCAGAGACGAGGAATGCAGCGTCGAACCTCTGCGAGTGGCGGCCCTTCAGTGGGTGCAGAGCAGCTGGGGAGCAGCCACAGGGGAGAGGCAGCGGGCCAGCACTGGAATTTGGGTCAAAACAGGCTCGCGTCATTCCGGGCTGTTTGGTGGTGCAGTGCGCGTGTTGTGTACATGTACTCGGACTCGGCAGTCTAAGCGGATGACTGTCGCGATGCATTCCAGGTGTGGTTGGAATTTATCCTCACGACGGTGCAATGTCACCATCACCCTACTATTGATAACATATACTACTAGATGGATACTGAAACAGGCAGTTTTCGTGTCCAATACTACTGCAGAAGCCGAGGACTGACCGTAGAGTCTCGGCCTATCGCCATTTGATATTGAAGCAGATTGTAAGCCCCACCCTGGCGATGAAAGAAGAATTTGGCCAAACACGCTCATAAGGATGCTTGGGTGCATGCAAATAAATGTTACATAAGTAAATTACGTCTACAATTAGTCTCTTGTGATGTTTGCCCAATTTTTAACTGACTACACATTGCAATCTTTGCTCACACACAGTCTATGTAATGGATTGCAAAGCCCCCTCACAACAAGCGTGAGCAGAAAGAGGCAAAGGTTGGCTGATATCCAGAGGTAGTCACTGTACAAACCTCCACCATATTATCACTATCTATAGTATTTTCACCATAAATCTATTCTATGATACATTAACAACACAGTCTAACAGCATTGCAATTCTAACCCCAACGGCAAAAACAATGCATGCTGGGGCGTCAAGTCGAGAGTACACAGAGAAACAATTGCCCCAGCAAGGGATGAGGTTGAAACATGACTAAGCCCGCCCCACGCAAACAAACCGGGCACCAACAAACTTGGTCGAGGATCGGCCCCTCCTGTCCGAGTTGGGAAACTTGCGAGTGCCGGTGCTACAGTAGCTAGGCCTAAAAGCCGTCTCTCCACTCAACTCCCACGACCCTGGTCTTGAGCAGATCCTCCTTGAGAATCCTGTCCTTTTGCTGCTCCAGCTCTTCCATGTCCCATGTGGCCAGCACAAACCGGCCCATGAGGAAGTTGGATCGATCCGTGCTCAGGTAGACGGCAGTGGCCCCGGATAGCTCTGCCTTGTCCGTCATCCGGCCGATGATGGCTTCAGGGAGGACGGTGTTCTTGATGAGGTCGGTGAGGACGCCTCCGGGGTGCATGACCACGCAGCGAATGTCGTTGCCCGCGGCTTGCTGCTCTCGATCAATGTATTCGGTAAAATTGTTCATTGCGACTTTGGAGGCGGCATAGGATGACCGTCCGTAGACATAGCGCCACGATGCAATCGAGCCCACGTTGATGATTCTGGCCTTTGTCTTGCCCGCTTGCTTGAGGGCGCTGAGATACGCTGTGGTAATCATGTACATGCCTCGGATATTGTTGTCGATGTCGCCCAGCCACCAATCAGGATTAGATTCGTCGATGGCGGCAGTGGATAGTGACACTGCCGCGCTGTGAACAAGGATGTCGGGAATTTCTGGTAGGCTATCCATGAGACCCTTGACCGCCGCTTTGTCCGCAACGTCGGTACCGCCTCGAACAATAACTCGACATTGGGGAGCAACAAGTTCAATTGACGTCTTCGTCTCCTCTAGTGGTTCTAATCGTCGACCAGCGATAATGACAGAAGAAGCTCCAGCGATGGCGAACTGTTCAGCAATGGCCTTTCCTATGCCAGTACCAGCACCCGTGACTAGCACGATCTTATCCTGAGCAGCCCCCTTGAGACTTGCCTTGGGGTCAATGAACGGATAGACATCCGAGTATCGTGGTCGTCCCACAGCAAAATCTTGAGGGTAGTCCATTTGGATAGAGGGTGAGGCGATTAGTTTCTGTGAATGTCACGACACAGACAAAGCAAACGACAAGAGAGACTTGAAATAGGAAAGGAAAAGAAAGGAGAGGGAATTAGAACCGGGAACTCTTGCATTATGGAGAAAATATGAGTCCCACGCGCAGCTCCGAATGTCTCCATCAAGCCCTTTAGCGCTGACAATGTTACATATCATTCTCAAAATGAAGCTACCATGATGCCATGATGCGTTTCCATGACAGATCTTGTCTTATAAGTGCTTATATCGGTACCGGAACATATCCACTGCGGCACAGTTGTGATAGGGATAAGCGTAATTGGTTTAGTGGTAAAATTCTCCGTTGCCATCCGAGCAACGTCGGGGAGCCCTGGGTTCGATTCCCAGATTACGCATCATTTCTCTTTTTGCCTCTCTGGCGCCGTGTCTATCTGTTTTGTGCATCGCATCTTTGGAATATCGCGAACAGACAGGTGTGACATATGTTTGCTTTTTTGTACCGAGGTGGTGTGTGTTTTGGCAGTTGGTCCCGTATAGCGCACAGCCGATAAGTTATCAAAGCTTGTCCATCATAGTACTTGAGTACCTATTCTCCACGTTGGCAATTATGAGTACGCCAATATCTTTTTCCGTTGAGTAAGAAAAACAAAAATCTATTGGAACTTTGTATTTCAACACAGATTTGTGCATTAGAAAAAGAGCAACCTTTGATAGATAGAACTGGTTGGTGTCTTGGAGAGCAAATATTCACAGCCAAAAGGTGCACAGCGGAAGAGGCACACTAAAGAGCTGGCGTTAAGTGGTGGTGGGGTCAGACGCGTCCAACCGCGTCGCAAGAAACTCACGACTGCCTTCTCACCACCAACTTCCATGCGAATAGCAGCACCAACTGTTTTCACGATCACCTCACGCAGCCGATCAGCTCTGACGCAGTTCATTGGTAGAGATGAGTTCAAGCACCTCACGGCGGCGGCGACGTGTGGACGACGATGAGGACGACGATGACAGCAGCACTGAAGGCCACGGTTCGCCTTCTGGAGACGAGAGCTCCAAGCGACGACGATTGGACCCTGATGACGACGAGCAGCCGCAGCGAAGCACCGGTCAGCCAGATAATGGCAAGGGAAAGGGCAGGGACGGTGGCAAGGACAGCTTTCAACCAGGTGCCATCGTTCGAGTCGCTGTAGAGAACTTTGTCACCTACGAAAAGGCCGTCTTCTTCCCTGGCCCGAATCTCAACATGGTCATCGGCCCCAACGGCACGGGCAAGAGCTCTCTGGTCTGTGCCATCTGCCTGGGGCTTGGATATAGCCCCAAGCACCTTGGCCGCGCAGGGACCGTCAAGGAGTTTGTCAAGCATGGCAAGGACACGGCAACTATCGAGATCGAGCTTTACAAACGGGCCCAGGACCGATCCAACTATGTCATTCGAGTCCAGATACGCCGTGAACAAAATGCCCAAAAATGGTGGCTGAATGGCAAGGAGACGACGCACAGGAGGATACAGTCGCTGATGCATGTGCTCAAGATACAGGTGGACAACCTGTGCCAGTTTCTTCCACAGGACAGAGTCGTCGAATTTGCCGCCTGTACCCCGGTGGAATTACTACACGAAACTCTGCGAGCCGCTGCTTCCGAGGAAATGCAAACGTGGCATCGACAGCTCCGAGAACTTCATAGGGACAAGAAGGGAGTGGCCGAAGCCGTGCACGAGGACGCCGAAACCCTCAAGAACCTCCAAACTCGCCAACAAGGCTTACAGGCCGACGTGGATAGAATACGCGAACGAGAGGAAATTCAGGAGCGAGTCAGCAATCTCAAAGGCGCCCTTTCCATCGCTCAATATCAAGAAGCACGCAATAGCCACCTGGCGGCAAAGGAACGTAAGAAAGAGGCCGAGAACAGATTAAGGCGCCTTGAGAGTGAGAGCGGGCCATCTTTGGAAGCAGTCAACCAGAAGCAGGTCTATACTCAACAGACTGAAGCCGCCATCCCGTCAAGGGTAAAGGCCGTTAGGGAATCCCAGGTAGCGGCGCAGAGTCTGGCACAAGAAATCAGTGCTGCAGTCGACGACGTCAAAGAGTGGTCGAACAAGATAGGTGCGGAGCGCAAGGGGTTCGATGAGAAAAAGAAAGAGGTTGCAACATCAAAGCAGAGGATCACAAATCTACAGGGAGATTTGCAAAACAGGCCTTCCAACTTCAACGCAGGAGAATGGAATCAAAAGATTGTAAGAGAATTTTGTCTTGTCACACCTTTTATAGCTTGATTTCCCTTCTTCCATTCTTCAAACTAACAATTCTGGTCTCTCTTATAGCGAGCCGAGGAGCATAACCTGCGCGAAGTTGAAGCAGATCAGCGCCGACTAGTCGCTGAGACAGAGAGAGTCAAAGGAGTTGGAAGGGCCAAGATGGATGAGCTGCGGAAACTCAAGACAGACTTGGAGTCTCTTGACACACAAGAGGGCCAGCAGCTAAGCTTCATGCGGAGGCACTTCCCGGAACTAGCGACGGCTTGGGATTGGGTTCAAGAGCATCAGGGTGAATTCGAAAAGGAGGTTTTCGGTCCACCCATGCTTTCTTGCTCAGTTAGAGACGAGCGGTACTCAGACTCAGTCCAGGCCTTGCTGCAAAACGACGACTTCCTCTGCTTCACAGCACAGACCAAAAACGACTACAAGAAGCTGACCAACCAGCTGTACCGCGAGATGAGTTTATCTGCCGTTATCAGAACCTGTTTGCAGCCTCTTGCGGCTTTCAGGTCTCCTGTCAATATCGATGAAGCTCAATCGCTGGGTCTGGATGGCTTCGCGCTCAACTATCTGGACGGCCCTGAGCCTGTTCTTGCCATGCTATGTGCTGAAAAGAGATTGCATCAGTCCGGCATCTCGTTGAGAGAGCACACTGATGACGAATATGAGAAGCTTGTCCATAACGGGAAAATCAACCAATGGGCAGCCGGAAGGCAGCAGTACATAGTTCGTCGACGAAAAGAGTATGGCCCTAATGCAATGACAACAGTCGCCAAGAGGATCCAACCGGGAAGATTCTGGACCTCTCAACCCGTGGATTCGCAGGAGAAGGCTGAGCTCAACAGGCGACTAACAGAGGTCTCCGGCGAAGCAGAAGTCATGAAGGCAGAGTATAAGGAGCTGAGAGAGCAGACCGGACCTTTGGAAGAACGAAAAGCCGACATACAGGGCAAAATTGTAAGTCAGCCCATCATTTTAGGCTGGATATAAGAACTGCTATATTAACGTCAGACAAGGAACAACTGAGAACAGAGAAGAATGCGCTGCAGCGAGAATTCACCAAGTGGCAGTTGATACCACAAAAAATAGGTTCGTGTTCCCAAGAAGTAGCCTACAATTCTGTTCTTTGACCTGCTAACTGAGTCAGAATCCGAGGAGCGCCATAAAGAGGCAAACGAGCAGGCCATGAGAGAGGCCCGAGAGAGAATCGTCGACCTCGGCTTCGGATGGGACAAGGCGGTAGTAGAAAGAGCCAAACTGGTTCTTCGCCATCAAGAGGCCCTCGGCCAAGTTGCAAAAGCTCATGATGAGCTCATTGAGGCCAAGATACGACTCATTGAGGCCAAGTCCGACATTAAAGGCCTCAAAGCCCGCAATTCTAGTATAATGGAGAGGCTTGAGGAAGAGAGACTCGTCGTGCAGCAAGCTACCGAAGAAGCTACCCAGGCCAGAGATCTAGGTCGCGGACTGCTCGACAGGGTTCGGGACCTCATCAACGACAACCCCGATAAGAAGGATCTATACAGCTCCCTGGCTGAAAACAGATCACCAGCAGATATAGAGATGGACATCTCTGCTGAGCAGGCGAATCTCGAGCTCATTCACGCAGCCAACCCCAACGTCATTCGAGAGTTTGAGAGGCGTGAACAGGAGATTGCTAAACTACAGAAGAAAATGGAAACATTAAGCAGCAAACTTGCCAACTTGACTGGACAACTGGATGAGCTGATGGGTAAATGGGAGCCCGAGCTGGACGCCTTGGTGTCCAAGATCAACGATGCCTTTGCCTACAACTTTGAGCAGATCAGCTGTGCTGGTGAGGTCCGCGTCCACAAGAACGAGGATTTTGACCAGTGGGCCTTGGACATTATGGTCAGATTCCGGTACGTCTTCTTCCCCCTTTTCCTCTCACCCCCTTGGCCGCCTCCTTCATACATGAGAACATGAGCTAACCAAGAGAACGTATGACGAACTACAGAGAAAACGAATCTCTTCAGCAGCTCAATGCCCATCGCCAATCCGGCGGCGAGCGCGCCGTCTCCACAATCTTCTTCCTCATGGCCCTCCAGTCCATGGCACAGTCGCCCTTCCGCGTCGTCGACGAAATCAACCAGGGAATGGACCCCCGCAACGAGCGCATGGTGCACGAGCGCATGGTCGAGATTGCCTGCCGCGAGCACACCAGCCAGTACTTCCTCATCACGCCAAAGCTGCTCACCAACCTGCGGTACGACCCCAAAATGAGGGTGCTCTGCATTGCTAGCGGGGAGCACATGCCCAAGGATGGGACCAAGCTTGATTTTGGCAAGTGCTTGAAGATTCAGAAGACGCTTATGGCGGCTGCGGCGTAGGTATCGTGAATCTTTGCTTCATCGTTTTTTTGTTGTTTTTTAACCATTTGGATGGGGTCTTTTGCTTTTTGCTTTGTTTGGCCTGAGCTTTGGGCGGCAGGGCGTTTGGCGGATTTTATGTACTCGCAGAATTTGCATGTTGGGGCATATGAAATGATTCAGTCCCAGCAACGTTGCATAGGTATATATACATATGCATGCATGAGGCTGAAAGCCTTCATCTTAAGCTCGAGTCCCGCCCGACTTTCTTCACACATCCATCAATCACATCAAGAAACCAAATGGAAACAGTATAATGTGGTTTTTAAAAAAGAACCAGGCAATTCATCTCTCATCATTTAGTAAAGTAATAAATAAGCCAAACCATGCAAAAAAAATCTCACACAGAAAATAACAAAAGTGTTTAAGGCATAAAATCCCCCTTTTTGCATGATTCTTTTTTAAGTGTCCACCTTGAGCGGCCCCCCCGACAATGGAAAAAAAAGAGAGGCGGCGATGAAAAAGAAAAAGAATCACGCGTATACTTCCACAATTATTGTACAAACAAAGTGTAAAAAGGCGTCTTGTGTCTCCCCCTTATATTCTTTCTTCCCACGTCGACGCAAGTGTAAAAAATCAGACAAATAAAAACAAACCGCGGAGAGAGAGAAAAGCAAAAAAAAAAAAAAAAAAAAAGTTGATAATAATAATAACCGAAGAAGAAGAAGAAATATGGCGTTTCAAAAAAAAAACGAAAGATTCACATCTCTCCTGGAGAAGGAGAGCAAGCGCATGCGCCGTACGCGACAGGCCGTTATGTGTATCGTGTCATAAAAACAAGTAACTAGGCTCATGCTCAAACGAGCTGTGCCTTGAAGATGGTAAGAAACCGGTATTAAAGGAGAGAATAGGAATTGAAGATGAGGTGTACTAGTAAACAACAAAGATTTTAGGCATATCAGTGGCGTGTAGTTGAGCCAGGCCATCGTGAATGGCGAGTAATAAGCAATCATCATCAGATTATGAAAGCGGCAGGGGGAGTGCCACGACTCTTCAAAACAGACAGCATGGGCGAGTATCTGAGAGGCATAGAAAGGTGGCAGGATGGTGGGTATATGTCGTCATGCAAACGTAGCAATATCCAAAACATAATATTTTGGTTTAGCCTTGCTTGGGTTTCTCTGCGTCGTCGTGATTTTCCGTATCCAGTCGCTTTCTCCAATCCGCAAGGTTGCCACTCATGCCCATGCCGATAGGGGTATCGTCCTCTTTCTTAGAGGCGTTTGCGGACTCGAAATCGAAGTTGGTACTCAGACGGTAGTTCTTGTTTGTCGTCTCCCAGTGGTTTCGAAGAGTCTCCAGCTCGGTAGCCAGATTGTCAAGAGCGGCGCTGTTTCGGTTTCCTAGGTTGCTATCCCCATAGATACTCTCACCCTCAGAGCTTTCGTTACGGCTGTGGCCGAGAGCGAGGGTACCGAGGCTACCGAGACCCATGCCATTCGCCGCCGCCATCGCATCGGCGTTCATGCTGACAACATGCCGGCTGCGGCGACGGTAGGTATCGACAGAGTGCTCGACTTGATCAAGAAGCAGCGAGACCTTTTGCTCAGCATCGGACGCGCGCTGCTCGAGAAGGGCGTTCTCGGATTGCAACTGCTCAAGTTCCTTCCGTTGGGTGCTCAGAGATCTGCGGGCTTCGTCGCATTCGTGCTGGCTATCTGCCAATTCGACCTTGAGACCCTCAAGGCTCTTCTCTAGCTGTGCAGCAGAATCGTGGAGCTCAGCTTCCAAGCCAGATATCTTCGCCTGCAAGGCGGTACGCTCGTTCTCCCACCCGGCGGAACCAGGCTCGTTGGGACCAGCCTGCAGTCTATCCTCAAGCTCCACAACTTCAGACTTCAAGCGGCCATTCTCTGTCTTATAGCGTGCTAGCTGCTCCTGAAGCTGCTTCAACATCTTCTCTGTTCCCTTAACATAATGCACCGCTGACTGATAATCGCTCTCGAGCTGGGATAACTTCTCACGGTACGCAGTTTCAGAGTCTTGGGCTTGGATGGCGAATGTCTGCTTAGTCTCTTCGTGAGCGGCATTAATGCTGGCCAGCTGAGCCTCAAGCTCTCGCAGGCGACTCTGCTGCTCAGGAGAAGTTGTCCGTGGGCTCGCGAAGCCGCGGGTTCTGGTGGCACCAGTGGGGCTAATGCCTCGTTCGACAAGAATATCCTTGAGTGCGGTGTGCTGCACAGTCATGGCGTTTGTTTCAAGCTGCTGAGCCGCCAGCTGGTTCTTGATATCTGAATGAGCAGCCTGGAGGCCTTGGTTTTCCCTCAAGGCGGATTGGAGTTGTCGTCGAATACCAACGCCCTCACGGCTGGACTGCTCCTGGTACTGCTCCAGCCCAGCAATGCGCTCCTCCGCACTGCGCAGTCTGTCGGCAGCTATGTCTGCTTCCTGCTGGTATTTCTTGACTAAAGCGTTCGCAGCAGTGAGCTGGTTTTGAAGTGCAACGGCACGTTCAGCATCTCCATTATGCGCAACTGAGTCGTCCTTGGCAGTGAGCTTGTGAAGTCCTGAAAGGACAGCTTCCCGATGCGTGCGTGCTTCAGTAGCGTGTTTCTCGGCAAGCTCTTCGGCGTCTCGTAGACGTTGGGTCACAGCAACTAATTCTGCTGTGCGCGCTTCGTGTTCAGCTTTGAGCTTGGTCAGCTTCCCTTCGACCTTCTCCCTTTGGGTTCTCTCTTCTTCAAGTTTTGTCTCGAGGTGGGCGCTCGCATCCTGTGAGGCTTCAATGGCGGCCCTGAGAGACTCAAATGTCTCTTCTCGACCATTTGATGATTCGGCAACTTCGTCAAGCTTCCTCGAAATAGTCTCTTTTTCGACTCTCAGCAGTTCCAGAGCAGCCACGGCCTCAGCGGCAGCCACTGCTTGCTCCCGGGCTTCACGCTGCGAGAAGTGAAGCTCCGCCTTTAGACGCTCGACTTCCCCAGAATTTTGTTGTTTGTAAGCCTCCAAATCGGCCATGCGCTTCTGGGCGGCCGATGTTGTGTCATCGGCAAGCTTGCGAGCTCTCTTCTCGGCATCAAGCTCGGATTTCGCCGACTCCAGCTGCGTCTGAAGACTCTTTTGGTGGTTGAGGGCTGATGCCAGCTTCTTGCTCATATCTGCTGATCGAGCAGCAAAATCGTCTCCGCCTTCAGGCTGGGGGGTACTTGATACACTTCCGGCACTCTGAGCAGCCAGCTTGGCTTTGGCATAAACGGCTTCCTGAATGGCGACATCTCGTTGCCTTTCCGCCTCCGCTATCTGCTTGGCAGCAACAATAGCTTGCTTGTCTACAGCATTTTGAACGTTTGCTAACTCTGTGCGCATAGCCAAAAGAGCCTCGATCAGCGGTCGGTCTTCGTCGTCAAAGGACTCGACAGCTTTTCCATCCAGTGCGGGCCCCATGGAGGCATTGGGAACATAGCCACCTTTCCTGGCCAACTCGAGTTCCGACGCATACCACGCATTCCGATTTCGGGCATTGTCAAGCTCCTTGAGAAGAGCAACAGTCTGCGAATTTCGGCCAGATGAACGTCGGTTGAGGTTGGCGCTCATCGGCTTGGCTGTATGCGGAGGTGAAGCCGGTCGAGTTGGCGCAGGCCTCTGCATGCCTTCAGGGGGACCTCTCTGCATCCCTTCAGGGGGACCTCTCTGCATCCCTTCTGGTGCAGCTCTCTGCATCCCGTCAGGTGTAGCCCTCTGCATAGCCTCTGGCGTTGCCCTCTGCCCTTCTGCCATGCCATCGATCGAACCCGGGTTAGCGCGCATTTTGCCCCTGGGAGGTTCGTTTCCGCCCAAGGAACCTTGTTTAGATCCCGTCCTTGAAACTTGAGTAGGCGTGGTGGGTGTTCGTCGTCCGTTGACAGGATTACCCGCTGCAGATATGGGTGCAGAGGTGGGTGCGGGTGCATCGTCCTCAGGTATAACTTCGCGGGTTATTGGTGACGGGGCAGACGTCAGCTGGGGTGAGCCCGTCGGCGCCCGATCAACTGATGCACCTCGGACACGACCTATGGCAGATGGATCAGCAGCCGGCTTCGCAGGGGTTGGGCCTTGCGGAGGCGGTCCAGAGGGGCTAGCATTCGCGGCAGCTCTAGGCATCTGCATCCTGTTTCCGGGAACTCCTGGGCCTCCCGGACCTCCAGGACCGGGGGGGGCTCCGGGAGGGCCTCCGGGAGCCCTTGGTGGCGCACCAGCCGGAGGAGGTGTACCCGGTCCTCCAAGGCCTGGTGAGCCGGTTGGTTCCATGCCGTTGGAAGCAATTCTCCGGGTAGCTGGTCCGTTGTTGATGCTTGATGGGCCACCGACAATCATGTTTCCAGGATCGGGAGGGCCTCCTCCGTTGGAGACATCGCGCGTCGGTGGCTGTCTGTTGGGATTCGATGCATCGCTAGGCCGTCGCGCTTGGGGTATTCTCTGGGGCCCTCCTGGAGCATCGTTAGGATACCGAATCTTAGTCGTGTCCAATACGTAGAGAATGCCAAGATCGTTAGTAGACGAAGAAGCAGTGCTAGGTTCCCCGCCAAGCACAACAATGGATTTTCCAACCGTGGTCATGCTGTGTCCAGATCGAGCCGAGGGAGAGGGGCCCATATTCTGGAAAGTATACCACCTCCGCTGCGTGATACGAAACGCCGCAAGGTCTCCCAGATCAGTGCCTTCATCGGTTCTTCCTCCGAAAATATACATGACGTCGTCCACCAGAGCAGCAGCGTGGCCTTCACGAGGAGCGGGTATATAGCCGATGCAGTCTAGCTGCGACCACTTGTTGACTGCGGGATCGTAACACCAGACGTCGTTGAACCATTGGAAACCATTCGTGCCGCCAAACCTAAGAATGGTCAGAGAGGACAACGGCTGTAGAGGGCCGGCCGATTACACATACAGATACATCTTATCGTTGAATGTCACCATGGAATGGTTCGTTCGCGCGGCGGGCATCTTGGGACTCGCTTCTGCCTTGAGAAGAATTTCCCATCGATTGGTCGGCGACTGCAGCTGGTTGAGATCAAACGCAGAGAGATCGTTCATAAAAAAGCCCTCGACTTGACCACCAAAGATGAATATCTTGGAGCCAAGAATGTTAAGCGAGTGGCCATATCGCCCCGATGGACGAGGCCCTGCGGGCAGGGCACGGGACCAGTGCCGTGTTGCTACAAACAACAACTGTGGTAAGATTTTCGACGCCCTTGCCATTTATGGGAATTCAATAGGTAATGAAGACTCACAAGTATTAAGTAGATATAGGGTCTCATCCAAGATGTCATTGTCATCAATTTTGGTGTCTCCGCCATAAACGATGAATGCATTGCCGACTAGCAGACTAGAATGGCCAACACGAGGCCCCGGGCCCTCGGCGGTTGTCGCCAGAGGGTAACATGTCATGCTACCACCGGCCTCGATCATCCAAAGGTCGCCCTTTACAGTCGAGGAGTTGATCAGACCACCCATGAGATAAACATCTCCCTCCTTGGAGGCGACCGAGTTGACGGCGGCGCCATATCGAGGAAATGGGCTGGGATGCGACGACGTGTACGTCAAGCGCCGCTGCGACCACGGATAGAGCGAGGCATTGGAAGCATTGCTGACGGGCGGCTGGTTTCGAAACTTGAGGGTTTGCGCGTGTTAGATGTCACACAGCGGTAGTCGGTTGGATTAGCTCCAGATGGAGGTCACTCACAGGCAAATCACTCGGCTGGGACGTATCAACGCTTCCTGTGCGGCGGCCATGGCCTTGGGCTTGGCCCTGGTCTGGGCTAGAGGTATTGGTGTCGTTGTCGATAGAATGCAGGCTTCCCGTTGGCGTCGCGCGCTGCAATGCTGTGTTCTTGTCGTCTCTAGCCACTGCGCGCCCCGGGGCGTTCTGGATGGACCCCTGAGAGCCTGAGCTGCCGTCGCGACTGGTTGTCGTACGGTCCTGGTGCTTCTTGGACTTGAAAAGAAACGCCATGGTCGGCTGTGGACCGCTCGCTGGCGGAATACGGGCAGAAGCGTGTTCGCAGGCGGGCCAAGGACGATGTGGTGGTTGTCGAGGTTGAGGTTGAGTTTAACGAACGTGGGTGAATGGCGACTGGGAGAATCTCCAAACGAAACAGCAACGAGAACGAGGGGATTGCGCGCACTCGCACACGATGCGATGACACAGACGGCTCGACAAGGCCAAAGAGAGTGACTGGAGAATTGTTAGGAAAGAAGGGGGTCGAAGCTCGAGCGTCGAGATGGCTGGACAAGCATCTGTGGGAAGTATCCGGGGGAGTATCGCCGAAATTTCAGTGGCCACCTATTTTGGGGTTTGGGGGGGGCCCTGATGCTGATGCGTGAAGCAGCAATGCTCGTTTGCTCTGCCGTTCGCGAACCTGCGGAATGGGAGATGCAGCCTCACAATTGCTCGGAAATAGAGAGAAGAGCTGAGGACTTGAAGGCGGGAAAAGCCACAGCGACTGCTGGTGGTGATGGATTGCCCAGAGATTGGAGCTGGCACGGGGGACAAAGACAAAGGCGTCCAGTCGACCAGACTCCATCCAGTTCAGTTCAGTTCGTTTGTGGTGCTGGGCTGCGTTTCGGCCTCCTGTCACAGTGCCAGGGCCAGGCCAGCGGGCCAATTAGCGGGCGACGCTGGTCCTTGGGGTGCTTGAGTGAACATTTTTAGGGGCTGCAGGCTCACCAATGTGCACTAACCTCCTGTAGGTACTGACGTACCGCCGTGCCTCAGCATGGCGCTGTGGGGAACTCCTAACAGCAGTGACCTGGGGGGTACCTGCAGGTGCGCCGGGAGCAGCGGCGATCGCGCGGTCCCTCAGCTGTAGCGCTCTGCAGGTCGGAGATGGCGACGATGTGGAGCAGGCCAGAAATCAAGGGGCTGGAGGGGCAGCGACAGGCATTTCAGCGTCGGATACGGGAAGGCTGACGCAAGGAACAAGAACAATCTGATGTGGCGAGCCAATGCTCTGCGTTTCGTCTGGAAGCCCGTCCGTTCATGTTCGAAAGAGTCCACTGCTGACCTCATCGTGCTCGTGCCTGCATCGGTTGGAGCAGACAGGCAGGCCCCGTAACAGGTGCTACCGTACGAGTACACGTCGATATAGTATTACGATGATACCTAATCTATAATCTACGAGTATTCGTATGCTTGAAAATAGAATTGCGCCACCAGTACAAATATTTCGTATTTCTTATTTCTTCGCCTTGGAATCCCGTCATCTTGGTTGCTCCGCATACCGATACCGTGGTACGGAGTACGGAGTACATGCCACTTGGTAGCCGCCCGGCAATTCCAATGCTGATCGCGGTTGGCTTTCATGCTCCTGATCATTTTATCCCCTATTGTCTCGCGGGCAGTTATTAGCACTCGTGCTATAAACCCGGAAAAGCCTTGGCTGAGTCGGCAAGCTGATTTGCCCCAGTCGCACACGTTTGCGAGCCGCCCACCGGCAGGGGCAAAACCTCGTCGATCATATTTGCCTGCTCCTGTTACCCTGTTACCCTGTTACCCTGTACACGGCCCAGCAATGGGGAGATTTGATGCTTCTCGGCAACACGCGAGCTAAATTTATGCTCTATTGACGGCCATGAAAGGATTCCCCCCCTCTGTCGAGATCAAAGAAAGCCCGCACTTTGTTGATCCAGTCAGCGTGAATTTGTAAGTGAGCTACCAAGGTACCTGGGGCTAATGCATCACGCGTATGTCGTTGTCATCAAGGACTCGTAGAAAAGCGTCCATCTATTTCGAGCTCCAAAAAGGCCTTGGCTGCTTCTAACCTAATACGCGCACAGACAGTCTAATCTAGATTCCTCGTTCGACTGCTAAGCCCTAAATGGCCATTATCGAATGTAGGAACAAAAGGAACACTGTGTGCTGTACTGCTTGGCGGCGTGTCTCATTCAATGTCTTGATGCCAGCAATCTTCACATCAGCCCAGGTACATGTATTGTTGTTTCGTCGGAACGCGCCGACGGTAGCTGAGCACCCCCTACTAAGAACATGTACCTCGTAGGCCACTTACACAGGCCTGCCGTACCTACTCCGGGCTAGCTGATGTCCATGCTGTCTCGCGAATGGTTCCATTCAGCCGCTCAAGGTGCTACCGCAGTATATCGGTTTGCTTTTAGCTTGCAGGCAGATGGTTAATAATAGCCCGACCACCATTGCCGTCAAATTGGATTCCAGCCATCAGGGGAGCATCGGGCCTGGTTAGTATCGACGTGGATTGCTTCACTCGAGAACAAACATTCTAGAGACATGGGGTATCACGTGCTCTCATCGACAGCTGCGAAAAGCCTATCAGGGGAGACGAGGCTCATCCTGATCCTGACAAACAACGGAAAAAAGCTTCAATAAGCCCAACCAACAAATGCACGCCGGGCGGGTAAGCTCTACCGCAATGCCTCGTGTGAAATGCGGTGCCTGAATGGCTTGTTGCGGGATAAGCTTTTTAGCGTCCATCTTTCTCTAGATCGCCACGACACCAGTATCTTCGTGTCTGCCGCTTACCTTGATCACAAGCAGCGTGCTCTCAGCGTCATATCAGCTGTAAACGCCGACTATTTCCCAGCAAGACCATCAACAGAATAGATTATTCACTTGATGTCATAGCCAACTATCAACTACCCACTTTGACACGGTGGCGCGGAGATAAGGGTTTGACTTTCTTTCGGAGTGCTGCTACGGCAAGCAGCGGGACGGATGGATGGCTTCAACAAACGCTGGAGCCGCCAGTCACGGAACTGGGCTGGATAGCTGTAGAATGGACGGCCCAGCCCAGCTTTGGGTAGTAACAGTCGGCATCCTCTGGTCGTGATAGCAACCCGAAGACGCGCATATGCATGGCTGTGGGCTGTACGACCGCTGCATCGGCCAGTGAGCAGCTGGCAATAGACTTTCACAGGTGCAGCGTAACGGAGTCGCCAATAAGCCATGCCAGCCCTCGCCCCGGAACCCAAACTCTCCCCTCCCCAAGGCTGGAAGTGACCGTACCATTCAATCCTCCATCTCCATACTTTTTTTCTCTTAAAGCCGTGCATCAACTTCATCACCCACAGCATCCATTCGACATTCCATTCCGCGAACTCGCACCGCTGAGCATGGGTGCTTGGATACAGTATGACGATTTAGAATATAGTGCCGTGCTCCACTTTAGACCGCGACCGTCATGTCTCTGCCTCAACCGCAACAAACTTCGCCTCCTCGGCACCCACAGCAACGCGCTGCGAGCTTGAGAGAAGCAACGCCCGCCCATCTCGACCATCAGCAGCCTCTGCTGACCCCGTTGCCTGCGCGATTAGACGAGCTGCGAGCCGCGGCCCATGGCCTTCCAGCCGACATGACGCAGCGATCCGGTGCAAATGGCTCACACGCAGCCGCCGCCGCGGCCACCAACGGCGGTGAGACATCGAGATTCAAGGTCCAGTCGACCAGCAGCTCCGACCGCGACTCCCAGTCCAACGAGGCCAACGACAAGCGGCCATCCAGCGCTCCCGGCCGCAAGAATGGCATTTCCGCCGGCGATGCCAAGGACGACAACAGCATCGAGCCTGAGCGACCGATCCGACCGGTAAAACCATCCCTGCAACGCTCAAAGAGCGAATATGCGCCGCGACAGACCGAAGAGTCAGACCATGAAGAGGACGAGATCCACGAATGGGGAGCCAGACATGGCTTTGAAGACCACTACCAGTCGGAACACATTATTTCCCAGCTTGCGAATGTACGTTTCATCAACCTCTCCTGTCCCAGCCCCATCTTGTCGAAGCTTTACAACACCCCTCCTCCCCCCACCACGGCCTTGATTCGCGGTCTCCCAACCCTTGGTCCGTTCCCGTATAACCCACGACAGCGTGCTGACCCTAGACCCCAGAATTGGTACATGTATTTTACCGACAAGCGACACGAAACCACTGCCAAGCCCAAGGCGGTGCAGTACGAACTCCAAGACTGGCGCCAAAGAGACAGGCTTAAGACGGTGTCTGCAGCTCTTGCTGTGTGCCTAAACATCGGTGTCGAACCTCCCGACCAGCTCAAGACCAATCCGGGCGCAAAGCTAGAGGCCTGGACCGATCCTACCATCCCCCCTATACAGAAGGCGCTTGAGAACATTGGCAAGTCCCTTCAGGCGCAGTATGAGACTCTTGCAATCAGGGCACGTTACAAGCAGTATCTGGATCCCTCGGTTGAAGAGACGAAAAAATTCTGCATCTCTCTTCGTCGCAATGCAAAGGACGAGCGCGTGTTGCTGCATTACAACGGCCACGGTGTGCCAAAGCCAACGGCGTCGGGCGAGATTTGGGTGTTCAATAAGACCTATACCCAGTATATCCCAGTTTCATTGTATGATTTGCAGCAATGGCTCCAGGCGCCCACCATCTTCGTGTGGGACTGTTCAGAGGCCGGTAACATTCTCAATAACTATCATCGCTTCGTCGATAAGCACGACGAGGAGGAGGAGGAAGCCGCACAGCGGGATCCTCATTACGTCAAGACAAACTATAGACCATATATTCACCTAGCTGCGTGTGCGGTCAAAGAGAATCTCCCGACCAATCCACTGCTCCCGGCCGATCTGTTCACGTCATGCCTGACGACCCCGATCGAAATGGCACTCTGGTTCTTCGTTTTGCAGAACCCTCTCAAGACGAATATTAGTCCGGAACGTGCCAAGAAGCTCCCCGGACGCCTCCAAGAGAGGAGGACACCACTCGGAGAGCTTAATTGGATCTTTACTGCCATTACTGACAGCATTGCATGGACTACGCTGCCTCGGGATCTGTTTAGAAAGTTCTTCAGGCAAGATCTGATGGTGGCCGCCCTATTCCGAAACTTTCTCCTCGCGCAAAGGATCATGACTGTGTATGGATGCCACCCCCAATCATTCCCTGCCTTGCCAGACACTCACCAGCACCCGCTGTGGGAGACGTGGGATTTGGCCGTCGACATGGCTCTGGCGCAGCTACCCA